GGCACAACGTCACAGCGCACACGCACATACTGCGAGGGTCACGACACAACACACACACCACACCCAGGCGCACACACACACACTTTCAACATCATCACACACAACACACCACAACGGCGCGAAAACAATGAGCTTCCGCCTAAAACGTGTCGCGGAGGATATAACCATATTACTGCGAAGCGTTTGCCATACATTTTTCCAGAAATCATTACTACAGTATCAAACCGCGTTAGTAGTAAAAACTGACGGGCTCAAAGAAAAACAATTGTATTAAGGGGTTTCGAGTATTAACCACTTCAACATAATTATATTAAGCCCCGAATTAAACAAAGAAAAAATTATGGATTAAGGTGTGTACAAAGTGTGATTTATATAGGTTTATATGTATAATAAGAACACTTTAGTTTAGCGTTAAAATTGTTACAAATAGATACAATTACGACTCAAAGCCTAAAGCTCCTCATTCAGTTACTACTATTCATCTACTACAGTCCGCACCCGCTTAGTACGAAACTGAGACAGCAAAGAAAAATAATCGTATAAGGCGGGTTCCTTGATAAACATTATATCTAGCGCTTAATAATGTAAGAAAATACAATTACATGGGATTAGGTGTGTAACTAAAAGGTTTTATATAGGAACTGAAAATTACCGGACAGAAAAAATGTTGAGTGTTAGTAACAGGATGCCTTGTTATTGATTGTCCTTCGTATCAAGTCAATATTTAGCTAAAGATTACTTAATGAATCGGGCCAGGGTTAACAGAAATCACGTAGTCCTCATCAGCGTAACGAGCTTAATATGCCGCTCGAACGGCGGCCATTTCGGCGAGTGTAATATCGTAGAGTAACAGGTGGTGTGAGCTTTGCATATATTACAATCACTTCGAGGTCAATCAATGACGTATTTAACTTATTTGTCGATTCTGTACACTGGAGAGTGTAAATGTAAAAGACAAAAGCCATTACGTATTGAGGAAAACTAATCAAGCGTGTCAATCAAATTAGTTGACGATATTGATTATTTCAAATATTTTAATTTTCATAGTAAATTGAAAAGCATACATTACAAAAAACAATATGTAAGTGAAATATTACATATGTGACAAAAACAGCACAAAGACATAAATAATAAAAAACACTTCCATTGTCACATACACCAAGATATAGACAGAATTCTTCAAACAATCAAGATGAGCACGTTCGTACGTTCGTGCGGTCCGTGCGCAACGGACCGCGTGCGTGGTGGCGTAGCGCACGCATGTGTGCGTGTGTGTGTGTGTGCTGTCGCACGAGCTGCTCGTGTGTGTGTGTGTGGTGTGTGCTGTGGTGTGTGGTGTGTGCGCACGCCGTGTGTGTGTGTGCGTGCGCCGCACGCGCGTCTCCTACATGCTCTCTGTGTGTGTGTGGTGTGTGTGTGTGGTGTGATGTGTGTGTGTGGCGCCGTGATGTGTAGGTGCGTGTGTGTGTGTATTGTGTGTGTGTGTGTGTGTGTGTGTGTGTGGTGTTGTGTGTGTGGTGTGTGGTGTGTGTGTTCGTACGTGTGAGTGAGTGTGTTGTGCGTGCGGCGGCCTAGATTAGTTGGGCAATACTCAGCCATTCAAACAATATCAGCCTGTCTGCGCAGCTGCGTCGTGCTAATGTCTCCCATCTCTCGCTCTCAGTCTCGCCCTCTCTGGCTCTCTCTCTCTCTCTCGCTCTCTCTCGCTCTCTCATCGCGGTGGGCCTCTCTCTCTCTCTCTCTGCTCTCGTCGTTCGTTGCTGTCCTCCGCTCTCTTCTCTCTCTCTGCTCTCTCATCTCTTCATCCTCATCCTCATCTCTCTCGTCTGGCTCAAATCTGTCTCTCTCTCGCTCTCCTCTTTTCTCTCCATCTCTCTCTCTTTTTCTCTCTTTGTCTCATTTCTTCTATCTCTAAACTCTCATCTATCTCCTCTCTCTCTATCTTTCTCGCTCTACCAGCTCTCTCGCTCCTCTCTTCTTCCCCCCACGCTCTCGTCTTTCTCTCTCTCCTCTCTCTCTCTCGTTGTCTCTATTTCTCTCTATCTCTAACTCTCTCTAACTCTCTCTTCTAAACTTTAGTTCTATAGCTGTCTCTCTCAGCTCTGCTCTCCTCTCTCTCTAATCTCCTTCTCCTCCGCTCTCTCTTCCTCTCGTTCTCGTCTCCTCTGTTCCTCTCTCATCTCTCTCTCCTCTCGCTGTCCATCTCTCTCTCTCTACGTAATACTCTACCTACCTACGTACCGTACCTACCTACCTACTCTACCACCTTACTACTCTTACCTACCTACCTAACCTACCTACCATACACCTACCTACCCTACTACCCTACCATACCTACCTACCATACCTATCGACCGACCAGACCGACGACCCGACCTATCCATAGCTCCACCTACCTACCTACGCTACCTGACGCTACCTACCTACCATACGCTACTCGGTACCTACCTACCTACTCTACCTAACCTACCTTACCTACCTACCTACCACCTACTTACTACCTACTCTACATTACCTAACCTACCTAACCTACCGTACTACCTTACCGGTACCTACGCCTACCTAACCTACCTACGCTACCTACCTACCTTAGCCTACTACCTAACCTACGTAACCTACCTACTCGTTAAACCTACCTACCTACTACTATCCTACCTACCTATCCTACGCTACCTACACTACCATCCTACCTACCTACCTACCGTACGCTACCTACTACCTACCTACCTACCTACCGTACCTACCTAACACTACTTACCTACCTAACCTACCTACCTACCTACCTACCCTACTACTCTACCTACCTACACCTACTAAGCTACGCTACCTACCTACCTACCTACCTACCTCACCTACCCTACACTACCTACTAACCTTACCTACCTACCTAACCGTACCGTACCTTTTATCCATCTACCTACGCCTAATCCCTAACCTACCTACTAGCCTACCTACCTATGCTGGCTACACTCTATCTATATCTAATCTCATCTATCTTATCTAGTCTATCTATCTATCTATCTATCTATCTATCATCTATCTATTAATCTATTCTATCTATCTATCTATTTATCTATTATGCTATCCATGCTTCTATCTATCTATCTATCTATCTATCTATCTATCTATCTATGCTATCCATCTATCTTAACTATCTATCTATTCTATCTAATCTATCTATCTATGCTATCTATCATCATCATCTATTCTATCTATCTATCTATCTATATCTATCTATCTATCTATGCTATCTATCTATCTATCTATCTAATCTATCTATCTATCTATCTATCTTATCTATCTTATCTATCTATTCTATTCTATCTATCTATCTATATATTATAGATATATATGGAGTGTGTGAATACACGTAATGTAGGCTCAAAATATGCAATAGCTATAATATTACGCCGTGCAGTCGAGCATCAGATTATTAGGACACACGTCGGTTTGGATGACATTTTCTGGGAAAAATGTTGTGTTATACGCCACATAATACGTAAAGGGGTGCTGCGAATCTGTGTGTATAAGTTTTCCAACAGGATTTCGAAGATACTTGTCGGCATGGGGCGCACATCCAAAACGCAACCGCAAAACAAGTTGCGCGATGAATCGCTTATGCAGTATGACCCCGCCGAGATCGCAGCATTCACAAAATGATAACGTGAGGCTGCGAACAATGCACATGCGAGCATCTAAAAAAATAATGATTCATACTTGCTAGAAGAATTGAGATAGATATCGCACGAGCAGGCTAATATGATAATGCATGTCTATTCGAGACGTCTCGGTTTTAATTCAGAATGCTGGCTATGATGTGAAAATAATACATGTACAATATAGAGACTATTTATGTGTGTGTGCGTGCGCACGCGTGTGTGTGTGCGTGTGTTCGTGTACGTGTGAGTGAGTGAGTGAGTGTGGTGTGTGGTGTGTGTTGTGTGTGTGTTGTGTGTGTTGTGTGTGTTGTGTGTGTGTGTTGTGTGTGTGCGTGCGCCACGCGTGGTGTGTGTGTGTTGTTCGTGTACGTGTGAGTGAGTGTTTGTTTGTGCGGCGGCCTAGATTAGTTGCAATACTCACTCTCAGCGATTCAGATACAAACACGCGCGCGCGTGGGTTCGTGCTAAACTGCTCTCCACACTCTCTCCCCCCCTCTCTCGTCTCTGCTCTCGTCTCTCTCTCTCAATCTTCTCTCATCGCTCTCTACCCTCATCTTCCGTCTCGCCTCTGCTCATGCTCTCCTCTCTTCTCGATCTCACGCTTCTCTCTTCTCGCTCTCGTCTCGCACCGTCGCTACGTCCCTGCAGTCTCTCTCTGCTCATCAGCTCTCCATCGCCCTCTCTCTCTCTCTCCCTCTCTCTCTCTCTCGTCTCTCGTCGTCTGCTTCCACTCTCGTGCTCTCTCTCGCTCTGTTATCTATCTCGTCTCGTTCTCTCTCTGCGCCTGACGTCATCAGAAACGCCATGCTCAGCAACTATGCTGACGTCATCAGAAACGCCATGCTCAGCAACTATGCTGACGTCACCAGAACGTGTGAAAGTTGCAGGTGCAAGCCGTTCGTCAAGGAATAAAGTGCCACCTCGTGGGAAACGTGCTGCTGCTAGTTTACCTAGCGATGCTACTGATGATGGAAACAGAAGGAAAAGGCAGAGTAAACTCAAAAAGAAAGCTACGACAAAAGTAGTCGGTCAAAGACAGGCGATTCCAAGGCAGTGCAAACGGAAACCAAAAACTTGCCAAAGCCAAGGCAGCCCAATGCAGGGCAGCCCAATGCAGGGCAGCCCAATGCAGGGCCGCCAACAACAGGGCAGCCAAAAACAGGGCAGCCCAATGCAGGGCCGCCAACAACAGGGCAGCCAAAAACAGGGCAGCCAAAAACAGGGCAGCCAAAAACAGGGCAGCCGACGGCCGGGCAGACCAAAGCGCAAGCGTGCCAGGCTTTGCAAAGTAGATGAAAGCATAAACGATGTAGTGCGGCAAACACAAACATCCGAGAAGCGTTCCCAAAGCTCGGCGCTTACAGTTGTGGACATGCCACATCTTCAACGTGAAAGCATGGAGGTTACGACTTCATTTCCCTGCTCTGCTGTTCCACAAAACAATGACAACCCTTATAGAGATGACAACCCTGATAACAACAACAACCCCTATGGAAATGAAATTCCTCATGCACATGAAAATCTCCATAGGAACGACATCCCTCACGGAGACGACAATCCCCATAGCAACAACATTCCCCAGGCACACGACAAACCCCATAGCAACAGCATTCCCCATGCACACGACAATCCCCATAGCAACAACATTCCCCATGCACACGACAATCCCCATAGCAACAACATTCCCTATGGACACGACATTCCGCATAGCAACAACATTCCCCATGGACACGACATTCCCCATAGCAACAACATTCCCTATGGACACGACATTCCGCATAGCAACAACATTCCCCATGGACACGACATTCCCCATAGCAACAACATTCCCTATGGACACGACATTCCGCATAGCAACAACATTCCCCATGGACACGACATTCCCCAGGCACACGACAAACCCCATAGCAACAGCATTCCCCAGGCACACGACAAACCCCATAGCAACAACATTCCCTATGGACACGACATTCCGCATAGCAACAACATTCCCCATGG